GAAATCACAACAAAAACAAAAACAAACATAATTTTTTTTAACTTACCTTTTATATTATGATTCCAGCGCCTAATTTGGTCATATAAACAACGGCCCATATCGGAAACGCGGTTTATGTTTCGGCCTAAAATAGATGCGGTATTTAAACTGCCATTCTTTTCACCGGGGACTGTAATACCAAGATCATCATTAATAGCATCATTAAGAATGGTTTCTGAAATTTTGTTGGTAGTTCTTTCAAGAATTTGACCACTAAGCTGTTTTCGACTTGGCAAACATAATATTGGGTTAATCCATTTAAAAAGTTCTTTAACCGCCAAATTTTCAACCCAACAAAAAGAAAACCTGCATGCAACAGTAACATTTAACAATAATTGTTCAAATGTTTCTATTTGTTCAGGTTTTAACTCACGATATACATAATTATCAAGCAGACCAAAACTTTGAGATGATATGTTAGATATATCACTTATACTGCTTTTATATGATATAATAGATGGTGTTGTATAAAAAAAGTTGTTTAAATTTCATGACGGAGGTAATTGTGGTAGTGGAATATGAAAAGTTAATTGAAATGCATCCCTTCCACCTCTTTTGTCCCCTTCATTCCCTTCCTCTTCATCCCCTTCATCCCCTTCCTTCTTAATTACTAATCGATGATGTTTGTTTCATTTTTTGATCCATAATCCATTGCATTTTGAATTATAGCACTAGTTTGTTCTGAAGTATGTCTTTTGGCCCAATAAGGACAACTTTTAGGATGATTTACACATACATGCTTGGTATTTGTAAATTTATGTTTTGAAGCTTCTTCTGAACCTAAAACCCGAATACAATCCTGATAAATAGCATAGTTGTTCCATTTATTGGATTTTTCTTTCAATATCAAAAAATAACCACTAAGTTTATGTTTTTTCTATGTCATTTCTATATTTATTATTAAAAAAATGAAAAAAAGAGGTACTGAAGTATCTTATTGCCAATATGACTATTATGAAAATACCCAAATTTTAAAATGCACAAATTCTAAAGCAAAATAAAACTATTGCATTGCGAAGTTATAAAAATTTAAAAATTTGTGAAAGATTTTTTTATTTGATTATCATGTACTACATTAAATTTTATTGGATGATTAATTGGACTAAGTCCAATTGCATGTCCAATTATCCAATTGACGATTGGACATAGTCCAAATCTAACAAAAATCTATTTGGACGATTTAGACAATTGTACGCTATTGATCTATGTTCAATTGTCCAAATCGTCCAATTCAGTTAATTGGAATGAGTCCAATGCTAACACTGGTACAACCATGCTTGTGAAGCTAATGGCATTTCTGACAAAAGAAGATTGACCCTGGTACTATCCTTCATGAAATGATCAGCTCTTATCTGGTTTAACAAAACAAAATTTGAAAAGGATTTACGCTATTAGGATAATAATAGCGATCGATAACATAAACACTAATCCTTTATTTATCATTTCCTCAAACATTACTGCACTACTCATAGACGAACGCAATGGCGATCTGCACTTCGATGATGTAAGCAAAGACCTAGACAATTGGTAGAAGAATATGTTGCAGAAGTTAAATCCTTGTATCTAAAATTAGATCCAAAATATAATACCCTAGAAGACGAAAAGATTAAGCAGTTTCTTCAAGGGCTACGATCTGAATTTCATACTGCGCTTACCGCTGCTACTCCACATGACTTAGAGGAAGCAGTTGACAGAGCTCGTTCAGTTGAGGCTATATTGTCTCATAATACTACTTTATCTGGATACTCTTTAAGTAAAGTCTACTTGAATCAAAGTAAAGAATCTAAGAAAGAAAAACAACCTGCCAATATGCAACAACTCATTGACGAAAACAACAAAAATTAAAGAGTTTAAACATCTATTATCTAATACTACTGCGGCCCCTAAACCTACCAATGATCAGACAAATAATAACTGGAGAGATCGCTCGAATAATAGTACATCTGGCAGTAATGGACGAAGCTGTTATAACTGTGGAAAAACCGGACATCTTTCCAAGGATTGTCGAGCACCAAAAACTAATTGCAGCAATAACGATAAATGTTATAATTGTAAACAAATTGGGCATTTCACACAGAACTACACCACACAGCCAAAAACTCCCTGCCCTCACTGTAAACAACATGGACATTAGAGAAATTTATGTCCAATTAGAAATAGATTTGAAACCAATGGAGGACAACGTGCCGCACTTTCTTATCATACTCCAATGATGTCCAGTAACCAAAATATGTATACATCACTAATGAGAACTTTACCATCACAACCCACATATATAACATCTACTCCTGTTTACCCACCACATCCTCATTTAAACTACTAACGGTGTTTCCAAAGGGTGAGTACACCAGAGGAAATCCAAACTCCTCGAAAGCTATTGAAGCTATTTATTATTATGCTCATGTGGATGGAAAACCAATATACTTAATCTTAGATTCTGGATCAGCGGGAAGTGTGATATCTAGATCATTTTTACAACAATTAGAATGGAAAATAGAAGGTCCTTCCCAAATTACAATGATAAATATTCAAGGCGGACGCTCTCGACTATTAGGACAGGTGACAAATATACCAATCCAAATTGATAATGTAGAGATTCCAATCAACGTTGACATTACAGAATCGAATGATTATTATATAGTTGCTGGTAATGACTGGCTTACCAAGTGTCAAGCATAATTACATTGGGATAAAGAAGTTTTTATTTTTAAATGGAATGGAATCATACATCAAGTTCCAATGACTTGTTGGGAAAAACCTATATTTGACCAATTTCAACAACCGACACTAGTAGTAAAGCCTACAAATGATAAGTATGAAGAAGAAGTTCTAATCTCACAATGATATTACGCAGTTCTAGGAGATAATGTTAGTCAATCAATCCTCGCTGAAGCTAAGCCAAACCAAGTTCTAATTCAAGGACAACAATACTCTCCGCAATATTATGAAAATTTAAAATAAAAGTTTGACATTCAACCTCCTACTAATGAAATGGAAATATTATTGGCAAAGGCCAGGAAACCGATGTTGGTATCATCATCGACTTAACAAACCAATGGACATTTGCAAGTTATGTCAAAAGAAATGGGAACATTTACAGTTACTTTCAAATATTCCTGAAGAAAAACCAAGGACTCCTAAAAACACCACCTCTTTGGAAGGAAAACAACAGCAACACTTAACCACCTTCCTTAAGCAAAATGATGATTTATTTGCAGATGATCTTTCTCAACTTAGACATACTAATATGGAGATGCATCATATACCATTAGAAAAGGAAATGCCAATACGTCAAAGAGCATATCGAGTTGCTCCTCCTGAACAAGATTTTATTAAAGGAGAAATTGACACAATGTTGAAAAACAAATTAATACAACTATCGGAAAGTCCCTGGGCTTCTCCTGTAGTCTTAGTAAGGAAGAAAAATGGTAAGCTAAGGTTCTGTGTTGACTATCGAAAACTCAACAGTGTAACTCAACGGGATTATTATCCCTCTTACGAATTGATGAACTTTTAGATATGTTTGGCAAAGCTAAGTATTTCACAACGCTTGACTTAGCTAGTGGATACTAGCAAGTTGCCATGACACCTGAGGATCAACAAAAGACTGCATTCATTACTAGTCATGGGCTTTATGAATTTACTGTTATGCCTTTTGGTTTAACTAATGCACTGGCAACATTCCAAAGGCTTATGAATAAAGTTTTTAGAAAAGAAATTGGGAAATATGTAGCAGTCTATTTGGATGATATTATTATCTTTTCAACCACGTTTGAAGAACATCTCGTCCATTTAAAGAATATATTTCAACGATTAAGAAAGACTGGACTGAAACTAGGACGAGATAAATGCGAATTTGGAAAGCTTGAACTTGCCTTCTTAGGACACATCGTAAATAGACGAGGAATCGCCTCTGATTCTTCAAAAATTGAGAAAATTAGAGACTTTCCAATATCCTTTAACATTACTGAACTTCGTGGATTCTTAGGACTTGCTTCATATTATTGACGATTTATACAAAACTTCTCAACTATCGCTGCACCTTTACATCTCTTGCTCAAAAAGGAAACACTTTATAAATGGACAGAAACTCAACAGCAGGCATTCGAATACTTGAAGAAATGTTTAATAACAGCCCCTATCCTTATTTACCCTGACTTTTCTAAGAAGTTTTTATTATTCACTGATGGATTATACATAGGACTAAGTGCTGTTTTGACTCAATGGGATGACAAACAAAAAGAACATGTAGTCGCATATGCTAGTCAAACTCTTAACAGCGCTGAAAGGAACTATGCGCCTACTGAACTTGAATGTCTCGCTGCTGTCTGAGCAATGGAATACTTTAGAACGTACCTCCTTCATCATCCATTTGACTTAATCACTGACCACGCTGCGCTGCAATGGTTATTCAATAAACCTGATCTACCTCGCAAATTTATGAGATGGATTGTACAAATTATGGAATTCCCGTATAATATTCACTATCGTAAAGGCAAAATACATCAAAACGCTGATGCCCTTTCTAGATTGCCTTCCCATTAATTCAAGCATCAAGTTACAATTCTTAGAGTGAAAGCGAAAGCATTAGTAGTGTGACTAACGGCTCTAATATTTAACATAGACATAAACTTGTATCAAAACCTTTACCTATATTTAACCCAATCAAAATACCCTGAATCATCTACACCTACTCAACAATTGTCTATACAAAACAAGCGAAACACTATGTCATTTATGATCACCTTCTTTATCGACAAAATTCCCAAAACCCTTCAAACCCTCTTCTTGTTATAAAATCCACCGAAGTTGAATCCCTTTTACACAACATTCACAATGAACCTCTAGAAGGACACTTAGGACGTGATATAACCTTCAATAAATTGGTATATAAATATTATTGGCTAAAGATATACGATACTGTAAAGGAATGGGTAAAAACATGTGACGTATGTCAATGATAAGAGACACTTTGATGATAAGAGCCTTTACACCCAATTTCAGTTGGGCAACCTTTTGATCGAATTGGGATTGATTACGTAGGACCACTACCACGA